GCAGGAGATGTACAGCCGGATGGACCACATCCAGACTTCTTATCTCAAGCTTTTGGGGGAGGTTGCTTCCCTGAGGGCTGGCAGAGGGGTCGACTCAGAATGGGCTACGGAGACGCCAGCCTCAGACGCTTTTAAGGTCAACAGGCTCAGGCAGAGCTGGAGGAGATCCAGAGGAAGGCCAGGAGAATGGAGGAGGCTCTCCAGGAGAGGGACTATGCTATCAAACTGGTCAAAATAGAGAGGGAGGCGGCGATACATGCGAGGCGTCGGCTGGACGAGGAGCATGCATCGCTTATCAAGCTTCAAGAGGAGGTCCCCATCTACGGGAGTCACTAACAGCGGCCCAAAACCACAATGCTCATCTTTAGTCAGAACCTCACAGCCAAGAGATCATTGAGGGGTATCGTCAGAGCATAACTGGAAGACTGAAGTGGCGATCACCTGTAAGGCTGGGTACGACTATCTATCGGTGTAGCTTCCAGCCAAGATGAGGAACTCACCCGATCATTTCCACTACCCTCCCCTTGTGGATAATTTTCTGGACAAACTAGTGGAGGTGGAAGCACTTGGAGGGGGATTTGATCTTGGTGAGGAAGAGGGGGAGTCGGATGAAGGAGGAGACTGCTTGACTCCTCCGCTAACTGCTCCCAGCAACTCCCTGTCCTTAACTCCTGGAGCAGGTTTAGACTTCTCAAAACTCTCTTATCTCTCATCTCTGTGCTGTATAGATTTATACATTGTATCTTGTAAATATTCCTTATAATGAATAAAGAAATATTTTCATGGTGATGCCGACGTGGTCCGATGAGTCATGAAGACTATCGGGGCTAGAGATATGATAGCGCCTTTCAAGCATTAAATGCGACGTCGACGTTGTCAGTGGGGAGAGCTCGAGGTCGAAGTCCTTTAGTTTTGAAGAGAAGTAACACCTTTCGAGTCGTCATCATAAGAAGTTGTATATCTGGTCGAGTGGGCTCGTAGCGAGTCGTCTTCGACAAGAGGGTCGATTAGTACCGTCTTTCGAGTCAACATGAAGGAATATCGACTAAACGAGTCGGCTAAATTGGAACCTCTGTTGGTCTTGGGCCGCCAACTTGATTGGGCGATTACATACAGAAGTACACATGTCAGCAAAGGGTTGCATTTAGGTGATTGAAAACACCATAACAGCTATAATACTCTAAAAACGATTCAATAAGTGTTTTTCTGCGAAGACAAAGAGCGAAGCGAGCCTCCATAAATTTAAATAAAAATATTTTAGTCATAGGAGTCAAGTCTAAAGCTATAAAAGCAACTAAGAAAAGCAAATAATGCAGAGAATAAACTACGTAACCAGAGTATTTTAAAGCTTGAAAGTGTCGCGCACCAAACAAGTTACGCGTGAAAAACCCAGGATTGGTTAGACGTAAACATATTCAAGAAGACTTGGGAAAACAATTTATTTTACAATAGAATATTTTTAAAAAAATATTTTCCTATCTAAAAACCTTTGGAGGTCTTCTTATAAAACTTATGTTTAGTATTGTAATCATTTGATTTGAAAAAAAATAATTGAAATTGAATTATCCTAAGACTAAATTGAGAAAAAAATAGAACAAAAAAAGGACAAGTTGTTATCCTAAGACTAAATTGAGAAAAAATAGACCAGAACAAGGACCAGTAGTTGCAACCTCCTCTAGTCCAAGCCTTGTCCAGGTTTGCCTCACGTGTTAAGTTAGTCACATGTTGAGTTAGACAAACTAATAACTGAAACTTCTGTCACTTATCACTTATTATAACCTGTACGTATTAAGCACGAATATTGATGTCCAAATGGCGCATTTCTGTATATTCTATACAGTGGGCCCCATGATGGGCAAATTTGTAGTTCAATCCCCTTAAAAATTTTGAGAACCTGAAAATGATGTGCGTGAATTGATCCTCATTGGCCCACTGAGTTCTATGCCGATGCTAGTGTTGGTGTGTTTTCCAGGGTGTAATTTAAAGTTAGCTTTTTCGCATATAAGTACAACGAAATTAAAAATTTTGCCTAGGAATCTAGCTTCTGTTATGCAGCATCACCCCTTTAGAATATGGTAATTACATACTTGCATTTCAAGGGTGTCAATATTTATCATATAATTATTAGAATAAATTGTTTTTGGCATGTCTCAACGACTTTTCTCTTTATAAAGAGAGTCTATATATAGTAACTCATTTATTTATTATTATTATATTACTCTTAGAGGGAGATTAGACCACATATAGATAAATTCCTACCAAAAAATGAAAAAAAAAATAAAACGATCTTTCTATTTTAGACGGTATTTAAAAACGTTTCTTTACTAAAATAAATCCAAGAAAATATAAGGAAAAACTATGCATTTCTATACTTAAGTAGAAAACGAGATAAATAGATGATCTTATTGTATATTTACTAAGTAAAATAAATAAGCTATACTATTATACTGTTGAAACATGTTATCTCGTTTATCAAAAAAAAAAAAAAAACATGTTATGTCATTTTCTTTACTATTTCAGTTATCAAGATTTTATTCTCCATAAAGCATTGTATAATCTTCAAGAATATTTACTTTATACACATTGTCCAGGTAACTAAGAAAAATATTCTGCCAATAATAATTGCATATAGGGTCTTTCCATATTTGTCCCTTAAATTTTGATATTATGAAATTAGTCCCAAATAGTAGTAACTGCAATTATTTAATTATTCCAAATTAATCGCTGAAACCATTGAAACCGCTATTTTGAAATTACTACATGCCTCCAATTAATAGTGAAAGTAGTAGTTAGAGGAATTAATTTAAAATAGTTTTTTGAAAATTGGAGGATTTAATAGGAAGTTTGATGATTTGAGGAACTAATTTGAAAATAACTTAACAATTAAAGAACCTAATAATAATTTTAATGATTTGAAGGACTACGAATATCAAATATGCAGATCACTCTCGGTAATACTCCACTGAGAATGATTTCATATTGGGTCTTCTAGCTTGTAACCTGTCAGTTTTTTGAAATTAGCGCCTCATATAATGAAAATTGCTATTAGCCCCTAATGCTTTAATTATTTTGAATTTAATGCATAAAGTCATTTTCATGGTTGTTATATCCCTTCATTCTTAAATTTATTTTAAAGTTAATCCCTCTAATTAACAGTTAATGTAGGAGTTAGAGCTTTGAGGGATTAATTTAACACAATTTTTTGAGAACTAGGAGGTTTAGGAGCTGTTTGTTTAACTACTTTTATACGAATTTGTATAGAAATAATCTGAAGTGGCAATTTTATAATTAATTGGTTTTCGGAGTTTTCTTACAAATGTGTTTGGTTCGTTTCTCATTTATAGAATAGAGTTTCTATAAAGTGGGAAAATGAGCTTTTTTTATTAGGGGCTGTTTGGTTATTTTCTAAAAAACCAAAAAATAGAAATACAAACCAAGAAAACTCAAAAAGTACAATTTCACATATTTCCATCCCTAAAACTCACCCACAACATCTAATACCAAGAAAACTCAAAAAGTACAATTTCACATATTTCCATCCCTAAAACTCACCCACAACATCTAATAAAATATTATTTTTATCCAACAACTCATCCATCACATCTAATAAAATATTATTTTCATCCAACAACTCATCCATCACATGATTCACATCCATCACATCTAATAAAATATTATTTTTATCCACATCACTCAACCCATCTCATCTCATATTTAAAAATTACTCACATCATCCAATAAGAATGTGACACCTCATCTCATCTCATTAACATTTCATTTCTTTGTTTTTCTCCCAAAAAGCTAGGAAAACAATTTCCTTAAGTGTGGGTCACATCATCCAATAATATAATGACAACTCATCTCATCTCATATATTTTCTTATTTTTAAGAAATAACCAAGCAAAAGAAAACAACCTATTACAAGAAATAGGTTTCTTATAATTTATTTCATTATTTTTTTCGCCAACCAAACAACATCAAAACAAGTTTTCTTAAAAAATCACTCACATCATCCTATAATAAGGTGACAACCCATCTTCATTTTTTTGATTTTCTTCTTTTTTTAGCAAACCAAACACTCCCAAAACAATTCTTTGATTTAATAGTTTTCCATTCCAAACACTCCCAAAACAATTCTTTGATTTAATAGTTTTCCATTTCTTTGATTTTTAATTTTTTTAGGCAAACAAACAGGCCCTTAAAATTCTTTGATTTAATAGTTTTCCATTTCTTTGATTTTTAATTTTTTTAGGCAAACAAACAGGCCCTTAGTAGAAACATAAATCCTCTCATAATGGGTGAAAACACATGGGAATCTGACAAACACTCATAGTTTACTCCTTTCTATTCACCTGGTTTTCATAAAGTTGTATGTTTTTATTTTTTGAGTGGGCGTTCTTCAGTGAGCCAACCAAAGGAAAAAAGAAATATTTTTCTCACTTTGAATTCCATGTTTTGTGCTCTGAACCAGACTAAAAAAAATAAAAAAATGGAAACCCACACTTTTTTTGACATTGCCAATCCAATCAAATTTATAGAAACATATGGAAATTACTTTTTGGCACCATTTCCTTTTTCTATAATTTATGGAAAATGAGCGAAGCAGCCCTTTAATAGCAATTTCAATAATATGAGGGACCAGAATCAAAATATACGAGATAAAAGATATGCAGGGGACTAATATAAAATATGCAGATCAGCCCTTGCGTTTTCTAGTTTTTCCATGATTCTGCGTACCAGTCAACAGAGAGGGCTAAGCTGCACCCCGGACTTGACCCGAACTTATAAACCCAATTTGACAGAATTCCTTAAAATCCGGTGTTACCTCCACAGATTCCCGGACTCCACTTGGGATTCCAATCCAACACACCCCTCGAAACACGCACCGCCTTCCTCCGCCCGGTCACCCTGGCCCACCTAACCGGTCAACTTGTCTTCCCTTCCACTGGCTCAGCCGGTCACCTACCCTTTTTCAAATTTCTACTGCCTTCGTTGCTCTCACTTTTAATCTCTGCACTAGAAAGACCAACGAAGCTCGAGTGGGGAAAAAATCGAGCCCAGGGTAAAATTTTAGCCCTAAATTTGTCCAACTTTCTCTTAAATTTCCATTTTTGGCTTCCGAAGGAGTTGATGGTGCTCGAGTCGCGACCAATTTCTATTAGATCGGGGAGTTTTTAATGTTTGGGAAAGATTCGGAGTTTTTTGAGCTAGGGTTTCATGGCGATTTCTCTTGTTTTCGTTGCTGATTAGATTCGCAATCGCTCTTGGATAAGGTTAGCAAAGAAAAGCTCCGGTCTTTATTGAAATTATAGAGTAAAGTCTGCTTTTCTGGGTTTTCTATTATTTTTGTGATTTTGAAGAAGGCTTTCATCTCTATAACCTTAATTAGTATGAGCTAAATCACTGCCTCTATTTGTGCAAGATATATCCTTTCAAATCATTGGATTATATCGCAATATTTTCTCCCTATTTTAGTTCCATTTGTAGTAAAATATTCCCTTTATAGTTCTTTGATTTACACGCCTATAAATTTACAGGCCCATTCTCTGTTGATCCAAAGTATGTGCGGTGGTCCAGAACGCATTAAACCCTCGTCGTCGTCATCAACATCATCATCTGATAATTATTTGCAGAAAACCATGGATAGCAACGGCAACAACCACAACGTCACTGTTGAAACTGATGATTCTTTTGGTAGCCTTCTTGAACTCGCAGCTAACAACGATCTCGATGGGTTTCAGAAATTGCTGGATCGAGACCCATCAGCGATCGATGAGATTGGGCTTTGGTACGGAAGAAAGAAGGGATGTAATCAGATGGTTTTGCAGCATAGAACTCCTTTAATGGTTGCTGCTACTTATGGGAGCCTTGATGTGTTGAACCTTATCCTTTCGGTATCGGGGGCTAATGTTAATCGGAGCTCCAGTGAGGATAAGACCACTGCTTTGCATTGTGCTGCGGCTATGCCGTCCAGTCCTTGTTGTCTGCCGGAGCCGATCCTGATGTTGAAGATGCTAATGGGCTCCGTCCCGCTGATGTTATTGTTGTTTCCCCGAGATTGGCCAACGTGAAACTTGCCCTTGAAGAGCTTTTGGGTAAATCTAGTGTTAATGGTGGCGATGGTGTCAATGATCATCCTTCTCTTCGTGTTTCGATTAGCAAGCCCAGTATTGAAGATGGTGGGTCTCCAAGGATTTCAACGTCTTCGACTGTGCCTGAGAAAAAAGAGTACCCGATTGATCCTTCACTACCCGATATCAAGAATAGCATTTATGCCACTGATGAGTTTAGGATGTTCTCATTCAAGGTCAGGCCTTGTTCAAGAGCTTACTCTCATGACTGGACCGAGTGCCCATTTGTTCATCCGGGTGAAAATGCACGCAGACGTGATCCAAGAAAGTACCATTACAGTTGTGTGCCGTGTCCTGATTTTAGGAAAGGAGCTTGTCGGAGGGGAGATCTTTGCGAGTATGCGCATGGGGTGTTTGAATGTTGGCTCCACCCGGCTCAATATCGCACTAGACTCTGTAAGGATGGAACGAGTTGCAACCGAAGGGTTTGCTTCTTTGCTCATACTAATGAAGAGCTTCGTCCTCTATATATGTCCACTGGATCGGCTGTTCCCTCTCCTCTGCGATGGAGATGGCTGCAGTTATGGGGCTTATGCCGGGCTCTCCATCATCTGTTTCTGGAGTCATGTCTCCTTTCACACCACCCATGTCGCCATCGGCTAATGGGCTGTCACATTCAGGACTTAACTGGCCACAGCCCAATGTTCCAACTCTGCATCTCCCTGGGAGTAATCTGCAGTCGAGTAGGCTAAGGTCATCTCTCAGTGCTAGGGATATGCCCGTTGATGACTATACTATGATGCAGGATTTTGAAGCTCAGCAGATGATTAATGATTTGTGCCTTTCTCGTCTGGGTTCGGCTTCTGGTAATCGTGGATCAGCAGCATGGTCCAAGACATTGACACCATCCAATCTCGATGAACTTTTTTCTTCTGAGATCTCGTCGTCTCCTAGGTATAATTCTGAGCAGGGGGCTATGTTCTCTCCATCGCACAAGTCTGCGATTCTGAATCAGTTCCAACAGCAGCAGCAGAGCCTGCTCTCTCCGATCAATACTAGCGTGTTCTCTCCCAAAGCGGTGGAAACCCAGCAGATGACCGGTCACAACACACTCTTGCAGGCCTCACTTGGGATTTCTTCACCTGGCCGGATGTCTCCCCGAAGTGTAGAGCCTATTTCCCCGATGAGCTCTCGGTTGGCTGCACTTGCTCAAAGGGAGAAACAGCAACAGACACTCCGGAGCCTCAGCTCCCGTGATCTAGGCTCAAACAATTCTGCAATTGCAGGAGCTTCCATGAGTTCGTCCTGGTCCAAGTGGGGGTCTCCGTCCGGGACTTTAGATTGGGGTGTGAATGGTGAAGAATTGGGTCGTCTCAGGCGATCATCATCCTTTGAGATGCGACCTGGAGGCGAGGAACCGGACCTATCGTGGGTCCATTCACTGGTGAAGGAATCCCCACCTGAGAAAATGGTGACGCGGCTGCTACAGTGGCAACAGCAACAAATACAGTGCCTGCTGCTAACGGTGAAGGCTCCAGTTCAGATGCTCAGGTGGATAACAATGATCAGGCTGCTGCTTTAGGTGCTTGGCTGGAACAGATGCAGCTTGATCAAATGGTAGTTTAGTTGAGATTCTCAAAATTTCTTCTAATCTACTTTTTGAAGGGATTATTAATACCTGCAAATGACTATTAGTAAATAGTATTTTTTTGGGAGGAAGGCAATCAAGGAGGGAAATGGGGAGGTAATTCGTTTTCTTTAAAAAGCATTTGTTATTACTTCAAGAGTTAAGACAGGAATCATGGGAGGGAGTTCTCTGGGTTAACTCAAAGGTCTACCTGGGTAAATTGCTCCCCCGATATCTTTTATTTTTTTCAGTCTTTTTCCTTACATCTCTAAAGGAGGACTATATGCTTAATAGCATTGAAACATATCTAGCTTTTGATTTTTTGACTTTGATCTTCCCTATTATTATGTTGGTAAACTTGATCTGTTTGAAGAAGGTTGGGGAGGCCTGTAGAATTATTCTCCTCTTTCTTGATCAGTTGCATGTTGCAAGGTTGGAGGTGAAAGATCTAATTGTTTCTCTGAATTGCCTCACTGGGGCACTTTCCATGATCAGACTTGTTATGGGTCTCTATTGGGAAGTGGGGATCATCTAAGGTCTCTCTGTTATGTATTGATGGTTAAAATATTTATTGCTATTAAACTTCAATTTATGATTCTTTATAATATTTGTCTTTTACATGTTTTTAGCGTGATGTGCATACTATAGTATCTGTGTTTTTATTGTACTCCCTTTCCTCTGTTACATACTGAAACTTAATTTAAGGGAAGAAGGGAACAGACAGTGCCACAAGGATTAATACATGCAATACAATTGCAGGCCTATCTATGAAATTCTTTGGTGAGAAGGCTTTGTCTGCGTTCGATTATTTCTAACGTTGGTGATAGTTTTTAGGCGAGTGTTAGTTGGTTGCTTGTGTTTGGATTGGTTGTTTCTTTGGTTGGCTGATGGTTGATGAGGATATTATTTGATATAGAGATCTGAGGTGGAATCCATGGTATCAAACAAGGATATAGGGATTGTTAATTAAGGTTGACAGAATTAGGCCAAAATGGTGGTGTTCTTCATGAGTTTTATAATACCAGTGGTCAGACTTGCTATAGAGTAAAGGACTAAAGGATTATATATTCTTTAATTAATTATTGTATAATATTATCTTTACCTGTACATTGTTTCTATTCATTAC